AAAAAAAAAAAAAAAACCCACAGTATCCCCAACCACAGATGATCACACTGAAAATGACCGGGTACATCTCTAATTCCTGTCTCTTTTCAACATAATAGGCATTTGTGTCTGCATTTTAAATGCAGTCATTTAAAAATAAATTTGTGAGCATCCAGTTAGAACATATGATTTTTTTTTGGAGGTTTTTGTCCTTTTTTGAATAGCCTTTCATGTTATTTGGAAAGAACTGTGACTTTCTCTAAAAATTAGGTCAAGGATGGAAAAGAATAGTAAGAAATAGGGAGAATTACATTAAAAAAATAGTGTGGGTTGGGTTTTAAAATAATCTTCAGCGACAACATATTGTTCAGTTCAGGCTTTGCAGTGACATCTTTCTCCATTTGAGCTGGTTTTTCATGGTTTGTCACTAGAGTCCTTTTGATGGCACTATAACCTTGTAATTTACAGTTGCCTATTACTTATTCTGTGTCCCAACTAGCTTCATTGTTAGTACCAGAGGAATAATGAAATGCTGTGTTTTACAAATATGATTCAGTTTCTTGACTACTTATGAATAACAATACTTTGCACTCTGTAGTGCTTTTCATCCAAGTATCCCAAAGCACTTTCAAAGACTGACTGACTAAGCTTCAACAATACCCTTGTGATGTAGGTAAGGCATCTAGAAGGATAATTTCACCCACCAATGAATAGCTGAGTGCAACAGAGCAGCTACTTAACAGTGCACAAACACACACCAAGACAATTTAGGGCAGGAAGTGCTGAATACTCTATTTGTCAAAAGTTTGGTACTACCAGCAGTATAACGCACCTAACATCATACAGAGGCCCTTGATTCTCTACTGAGTCAGAGGAAAGAGCGGTACCTGTTGTGTCTCTAACGCCACTTTTTGTGGGGGGGGGGAAATGGTTTTCTCTCTGATTATGTGGTGTGGGTTTAAAAAAAAATCTCACTGCAAGATTTTGTACCTTTTGTGCTCAGGATTCTGAAACTGAGCACTGTCTGTAGTTTAAGTGTGACACATTTGACAATGGTCACACTTTAGTAGGGTTGTTCCTTTGGAATCTGTCCTCTACAATCTCCCTGGGATCCAGGATTTTGTAAATGCGGGTGTGGGAGTAGCAATTGATGCTTCAGCGGTGGCGGTGGCGTCACTCCTATTCTCAGCTATCCCTTCCCTCACTGGGGTGGGCAGCCACACTGTTGGAGCAGCAGCCAGAGACTATTTTTAAGTTCCTGAATCAGGTGAATTGTGTAAGAATCCCAGCACCTCCCACCACCCTACTGTACTCAGCAGCATCTCCCACACTCCCCCAGTGCCCACCTGTTGCCACGTTCCCTGGCTGAGCCTGGGGTTGTGGGAGCTCTTGAGCCAGTCCTGTCCCACTCCAGATCAGCTGTGCAGGGAGCCAGGCTCAGCGAATGACAGCAGTAGCAATGGGTGTGTTTCCCCCAGCCTGAACCTGCTCCTGGGCTGGCAAGGAATGCTCGGGGGGACTGGACACCTGCTGCTGCCCTTGTTCCAGCCTGAACTTAGCTTCTAGTCCAGCCCAGCTGGAATGGGACAGGAGTGGCTCTGGAGCTCCCACTGCTTCTGACTCAGACAGGGACAGCTGGGGAGGGGACATGCCATTAAGCATGAAGGTGGAGGGAAGTGGGAAGGAGATTCTTACCTTTGGGGACTTAAAAAAAAGGTCCCTGGCTGCTCTTCCTGCAAGGTGGTCCAGAAGCTGAAGATGCAGCTGTACCACTGCCTCCCCTCTAGATCTCCCTCTGATAATCCCCAAATCATTGTTTTTTGCAGGACCTATGAACATGATGTAAAGAACCTCTCTTTTTTGGCTTTGCAGTGGTAGATGATAAATGACTACTGTTCTCAGAGCGGTGCTAACCAGATCAGTAATAATTGTGCACAAACATGAAAGTAATGGAAACATGCCTTGTTATTTTCAGTTCAGTGCCAGAAAAATAATCAACATTATCCGAATGGAAAGAAGAAAACGACAATAGAGAACATAATTTTCAAGCATCTAATGGCCTTGTAACACATTCATTTTAGGCGGCTTCTGGAGCTGTTAACCCCTAGATTGTCCATTACCTGAAACTAGTTTTAAGCGCATGTTAGGTGGCTTAAAGTTAGACCAACTCAGGGCAGGTTTATAGGGACCTGCCTGAGTTGTGGCTCAATAACAGGTTTTTTGCAGTCCACTTACAGTTCTCAGAGCCCATTTCACAGGCATTTCATGGTGGCTCCGCCCCTCACCGCTGATTGGTGGAGAGTGCCTTTACTTCATCTACATCACTACTGCTTTTTTGCTCCAGCCCCCACTGCTGATTGGCAGAGTGTTGCCAGCTCCCAGCCCCCAACTAGCACTCTGAGGCAAAGGTGGGGCATGTTCAATGCATGCATTTATTGATGGTACTGAGCTTTTCAATCTCCCTCTCCCTGCTTTTTCATAC